GTAGTTGTTGTGCAAAGAAAACAAGTGCATTATATTGTCATTGAATATACGTTTGTGTGTGTACGCTTCACTACTCATTTACGTATTTGCAGCGCAATGCAATTATGTGTCGAAATGCCTTGATTGCAACACGTGCAACACAACTAATTCTCATTCTCACACTTAGCATTGTTCAACTATTTATTTGTGTTTATACAGTTTTAAAATGTGGTGGCATTTGTGTGAGAAAGTTTAGTAGTGTGTGCTGCAGCTCCTTTGTGGCATGAAATTAAAAAATTGCTATCTGTATTTTAATTGTGAGTGCACAAGTGGTATGCGTGACACAATAACAATGTTGTGCATTGTTTCACAAGCACAAAAATAATAAAAATAAGTGAATTGGTAACTTCGGCTGCATCGAAGCTATAATACCCCTCACAGGTGCATTTTTGATTGCTTAATTGCAAAAAGGAGTTTTCCTTGATTTTGATCGGCAGGTATATGCTAAAGTGGCCTGGAAAAAATTTTCTTATGATAAGACTTGTTTTTTCTAGATTGTACGACAAAATGAGCGGTTCAAAAAAATAAGCTAGTAAAAAATCTCTAGAATATTGTTCTAATTGCTCAAGTGGATCATGATAATCGTAATAGTAATTGCTGTCTTTGGAGAAGGCCTTAGAGCTACAGGCAATAATTCGTGACAAATTTCGAGAAGATATCTATAAATAGCTAAAAGCTATATCGATTCAATATCCGGCCGTTCCGACAAAACAGTTCCTTTGGCATTATTACTAGAAGATACAAGCCCCAGACATCTGTCTGTAACCAGCGGACACATTGAAATAACTAAGGCTTATGCTGGAAGGAAGCTTTAATGGAAGCAGAATATCGGAGAGAGAGAAACAGGCATCAATTGTTTTATACTACTGTAGAGGAGCCATTGGCAAAAGGTGGGATCTATCACCGAAAGTGGTTATGTTCTATGCAGACTTTATGTGTTGGAGGGCTTTAGAAAAGACTACATTTGCAAAGAAACTCGAAAGCATTCAACGGGCGGCGCTTATCGGCATATATGGTGCACTATGGACCACTCCACCCGTGGCACTTAACGCCATCCCGTGGACATGCGAAAGTTGCTTTCAGACTCAGAGAGTCTGGGTTAATAAAAGAGCACAGGTCTGAACACTCGTAAATCTTTATATACTTTGACTTCATACCGGATTACTTGTATCATTGAGTCGGTCAACCGAACTCTGTCGGCTCCTTCTCTACCCACATACCGGCGAATGGATTGTGGCTGGGAGGAAGCCGTTGAGGAGAGGGGTAGTGAACCTCTTCTCGTATGAGTCAAAGCCGGTTCCAGACTTCCTGACTAGCAGTGACTGCAGTGTCTTCCAGGCAGAGGTTGCAGCCAATTAGGTAGCAGTATATTTACTACACCGGAGTGCAGCTTCCTTCAAAGAAGTGACCATCCACTCTCTAACAGTGCGTTCAGGGGTGGATGAAGCGTGCCTAACCTCATAATCAAGAGCATCGATTGACCTTTTAATAACACTGGTATAGGTGCCAGGCTACAGCGGAATTGCAGGAAACTGTAAAGCTGATAACCTGGCAAGAAAAGGCAGCCTAGAACCCTAGCGATAGGCTAGAATGGGAGAGGATCGGAGCTCGCGTATCCTCTTGTCTTCTATTTACACACCGTAAGGCTCGAAATTTTATCAGATGCCATCTGTAGAAGCTGCATAGAAGGAGATGAGGTGGAAACAACTCCACACTTCCCATTGGCCTTTTTCGCATTTGGCAGGCATGTCAAGATTTAAACCCACCGATTCGTTTTGGCTAATAAGCGTTTCGCTAATTTATAGTTCGAACGGAGGAGTTCTTAATTTCTGTGGCATCATGAAGTGGTCTACTTGTGGTCTTAAAAAAAAAAAAATGGCTGCTAAAAAAGCAATATTGTTTAAAGGGGTATAAAGAAGGCAGAATGGAACCCTCTTACTTTACCTCAGTTTATAGGAATGTATGTATATACAGAAGTATTTTTTTATGTAAGTGTGTGTGTTTCAGTAAACACCGTTATTTTCTCGTGTGTGTGTTTGACCACAATTGTATTAATGAAAATGAAATACAATTTTTCTGCAAGTTTTGTTCTCGTTTCCATACTACCTCCTTTACTTATAAGTATGCGTGCAACTGTATTTTTCCAGTTTTTCTTGCACTTCTTCTTTGCTATGGCATTATCCATTTCATTGTTTGTATTTTTCTCACACGTAAACAACAATTAAAAGTTTCTCCAACGGACAATGGCTTGGCCACAAACACAAGCACTCAGATATATATGGTACACACACACACATGCTCACCACACCGCCGTTCAACTCGCTCATTTACCGTTGCCGCTGCCACCACCCGCGTATGCGCCAATCCGCAATTATCGCTTAGCAAATCTACTTCCTTTTAATATCTTCACCAAATGCGTGGAGTGTAAACAAGAAAATAGGTAACAAAGCAAAAACAGCAGCAGCCGCAACAACAACTGCCACAAACAGCGGCTGTGGCGACAAAAATAATAAGTAGCAAATCTAGCTTCATCAACGAAAACAAATACAGCATCAGCTTGCTTGCACAACAACGAGTTTAGCGAGCGTGTTCTTTGCAGCGCCAGCACCGTTAGGTATAACAGCAGCCGTAGACACGTCAGCACAACAACAGTGTTAAACAATTGCTGCAATGAGTAATGGCAAAAGCAAATCAAAGAATTTTCGTAATTTACTCTCATCGTTTGTGTTTGCTTTGGTGCAACAACAAATGCAATAGTAGCAGCATTAACAGGAACAACGAAAACAACAGCAGTGAAATGAAGTGTTTGTCGCGACGCTTCGCTCCTAAAACAGCGCACATTGATATAGCACAATCCGTCGCTCTTTCCAATTCCGTTTCGTCGCCATTTCGTTCTACTTGTGCGTTGCGTATTGGCCACTTTTATTGTTATTGTGCCATGCAATTGTGAAAATCATCTCTTCATATGACGATAACGAAAGTGTCTTCTTTGCCGTTTCATTCGCGACTATTTGGTTGGAAGCGCCGATGGCTTTCTCATTTCGGTATTTTGATAGGCCACAAACAATTGTGACGGCTTGCAGTGAGTAAGGTCTTGAACTCGTGATTTAGAGTTGCCAATGGGTTTTAATTTTAAAATTTTGGCGGCTGATTGGTTTATATTTTTCTGGGGGTATGTTTTATTTATTGCTCTAAGCTTCGTTATCAAGGCGCTCGTCGTACAAATACAAGGAAGCTTCAGACATGTCAGAACCATGCACTGCCGATAATAACGGGATACTTTTTGGCAGGCAGTTTCTGTTGGGACGTTTTTGTAAAAATCATCCCTGCAGTCCCTTAAAGCGTAACCGCCTTCTAGGAGCACCAAGAGGACCTTCCTCAACTACATCGACGACAAAAGACAATAAGCGCTCCAAACTTCGCACGCAATTAACATCGGACATGCACTGATCCCCATTAACGGTGGAGCCTGAAAAACCTTCACCGACTGCCGCTCAGTGAATTGCGTACTTGGCGTCAAACCACCACCCATTACAGACGACGAATGCAAGTTGGCTCGAGAATCGAGAGTGACCGTTGTGCAGTTTCGTTCTGGATGGTATAACAGATTAAACTCCTACTAAATGTATGTCCAGCATACATCGAGTCCCCGTATGATATTAACCACCTCTTTACATGACTCCACACATCTGACACTCCTCTCGCTATCATCCGATCCCGTCGAAACAGCAAATTTTCTATGCCTACTGTTGGATGATACCACCCTACCGGGGACTGTATCCGAGCTGCATCTTTACGCCGCGAAACTCTTAATACGATATTTTCCTGTCATTAGCGAGGGACCGCCCAGAAGCAACAGGGTTTGGTCTCTAGCAGAGAAAAGAGAACTGGTCCGTGTTCCATCAGAACTCTACCAGGAATCACACATCGATAGTTAATGACGTTTCAGTTGCTTCGGGAGCTTGGTTGTGAGGTTCTTATGCATCCAATTTATAATCAGATCCTCTTACCTTTAAAAGTTCAACGACTTATTTTAGTACTGATCGCTCGATCTCACTAAATTTAGTCTATCACTAAATTCTATTGTTTTTTTTTTTAATAAACACGGATTTTTTAGCAATTTTTCTCTACATGACACCTAAACTAAAAGTCACAAACTAAATTCACACTTTTATTATTTATATTTAGTACAATAAAGCAATTATTAATAAGTTTAATAATCGACACTTTCAATTGTGAGCTTTTTCAAAAGATAAATTCAAAACTACCGTTCCTTTGCCATTTTGTACCGGCTACGCTACACTGAGAGCAAACATTCGGCTCACTTTGCCTCCATCGGCAAACGGTAAACGGAAATATGTCAAAGAGAAGTTATACTCTTCCGCTCGTCACGGGTGGTGTTGCTAAAGCCAGCAACCGAGTGTCAGCATCCGGCGCTCCCACGAGCTGCAAACGAACGCAGACGACGAGTTTACTTCGTTGCCACTTGTGCTGTTGCTGCTGTTGGTTTTGATTTCGTTGCACACGTTTCCCCAATTGCGCTCAGCGCTCTTGCTCAGCGCACACGAACTCGCACAGCACTGTGGAACATCGTGTGCGACGTCAACACCAACTTCCGTCACCGCATCGCTGTGCCGTTATTGCCAAATTGCGTGCACTGTGATGCTGCTCGACGTTCATGCTGCTGTCGTGTTGGTTACAAATCAAACGAGTCCTATTGCTCGGGTGTTGCCCATGCTGACGCTGCCACTAACGACGCTATTAGCGCTGTTAGCGTTCTGCGCTGCTGTGGCGACTGTTGTTGGCGCCGCTGCTACTATTTGACTTGCCCGAGTGCGGCTGTTACTGCTGCTGTGTCCCAATCGTCACACGATGTGCTGCTACTAAAAATGAAACTGAAACATGCGTTATGGTATTCGGCTAACGACTTGCCAGTCAGTCTCAAAGGAACTTTTGTGCGGTTCGGTGCGGTTCGGTTTGATGTGTTGCATGTGCAAAATACATATTTCCCAACGTCGTGCGCTCGACTTTTCAGTGGTTATTTCATTGCGGCGCTAGCGCTTGGCCCACATTACGTACGCGTCCTCATTACGTGCGATTTGGTGGCATTATTGTGACATAAAAGATTTTTTACTTTTAGTACGGTGAATATTGTGCAATATTTTTGCAACAATTGGAAGGCGCTGAACGTGTGTGTTTGGTGTGAAGGAAGTGTGAGTCCAATAAGCGACAGCCAATATTAGTTGTACAGTTGCATTTGTACCTAGCAATTGTTGTGGCACGCTTATATGGCAATTAGTTGTTGGTGCTCTTGGCAGGCTAGCAGCGCATGTGCAATTAGTGTAACTTTCCATGAATTTGTAGCGCTTACTTTTGCAAAGCAAGCTTCGTTCGCGTCCATTGCGTGTGGCAAGCAGCCGGCTTAGCCAGCGCACGTTGCAAGTGCTTTTCTCTTCATTAGCGTTAGCGTTAATTTATGCGTGCGTGTATTTATCTCTCATACCGCCGTTACTGTCAACGCTGGCGATACCACTGCAAGTGGCGTAAACTTTCATTGACGCGCTTGTTTTGATTGTATCTCGACGCTGACGCGCTACTTGAGGGTCTGTTGGCCACGCGCGTACGTTTTGTACGTTCGCTCTGGTGCGCGCGTGTGTTGTGAATTTATATAAATAATCTAAGTGATTTTCAATCCCAATTTCCATAGCGCTAAAAGCCATTGTTGCTGCCATGACGCGTAATATACTATAGTGTCACATAATTCTCTCTCGGCAAGTAAGACACAGACACACACATAAGCAATACACAAATATTTTAGTGAAGCGCGTAGTGACAGTGGCTGCTCGTAAAATGTTTGATATACTCGCTGCGACACCTGACTGGCATACCGACACGTACTAAAGACAACCCATCAGCGCTCCCATTGCGTCCACTACACTTGCTTACAACGCCATCAAACGCGTGCAACGTGCTGCTGAAGGACACTCAAGCTGTGCCGCATTGAGTTAGCTCGCCTGCTGGCTTACTGCTTACTACTTCGGTGTGTTTGTGCCCGTTGTGCTTCTCGTAAAATATCGCCGTTGAACGTGCGCGGATTAGAAAGCCACAAGCGCGGAGGCAAGTACCGCGGTCGCAGTGCGGCGCTGGCTATGTAAATAGCGCGTTGCTTGTGCGCCACTGACTCTACTTTCCGGGTAAGTCTTTTTTATTTAATGTAGCTTGTTTGTTATTTATTTACGTATGTAGGTGAGTGCGCGCTCGCAATTTGTAGCAACGCAGCTCTTTACATGGGTTTCACCTCTGCCCCATGCAGCTATCTATGGCCTCTGTATTGACTGTGCCGCGTGTGGCAAGCGAACATTTTAATTTTCTTTCAATGTTATGCCATTTACTCTTACACTTTTTCCACGCGCGCACAAACATAAACAATCGACGTTGTTATTTTTGTTATTGCTGCCCATTTCTCCATTTCCTGCCAGTTGAGTGTAAAATAATTTACAGCGTCAGCTGGTTTTCCCGCAATTGTTTTTTGTACAAACATATATTTTTTGGGGGGAATTTCATTGCGTACGGTGCTTTACTATTGCTTTCGCTACATACAGACATATGTACATATGTAGTAAAAACAAACAACAGTCAGTTGTGTTGTGCGGCAAAGCAATATCGTTGCTAAATAAAATATTTTGCTAAATGTAATTGGTGGCACGCAATTTGCGCTCATCTCCGTCTGTGTGGATGTGTTGTTGGAAAAGCTTTACTTTGCGGATTTATGATGCGTTGAAGTGTTTGTTGGTATCTAAGATGGCGTTGAGGTGGCATACTGCTAGGCTCATGTGTGTCTGTTCGTTTGGCTTGGTTGCTTGCCTCCAACATTTGGAGAATTTGTAGTCGAGTGACGTGTGATAAGAGCTAACGGCTAAGGTACGCATGCCGCGCATAATTGTGGCAGGTTCGTATGTATGTACATATATACATAGAGTGTGTTTGTGTAGCATAGGCGTTCAGCAGTTAGCTGCTGATTGGGCGCCCGATAAACTTTGCGAGTAATTATTTTTAATTATTCAGCTGAAGTTACGTGCAACACGGGCTTTTTATGGGCTTCATGTTAAATGTTTTAGTGTTTGTTTTGGTGTTGTACAGATAATTAATTAGTAATGGTTATTATAGATAAATATAATCGAGTTCTTAACATTTTCTTTGTAATTTTTATATTTACAGTAGATTTAAAAGTTTTGATTTTTAGTTTTAGTGCTGCTAACAGCGAGTATGAGTATGAAAAACTTTTCAAAATTAAATTTTTTTGTAAAATCCAAATGTTTAAGTTAGAGAAACTATTGCTTAATTTGGAAAAAATACTTACGATTTTCGTGAATATTAGGTTTCTGGAGTGTATTTGTTAAGTCTCAAATAATAAACCATGATAGCGCTTCTTCATTTGGAAAATGTCCTGATTGAACCTCTCACCTTCCTCGTCATTCACCACACTCCAATTTGATGGAAAGAAATCCAGCTCAGCAATCACTTTTATCAGATTTCTGTATGCTAATGATCTGTCTGCTGTGACCTCTAAAATACTTTATTTTCTTTTTAATAAAAATATGCCACATATTTTGGATCGATTTATAATGAAACTGTAAACAACTCTCTGAATATCATATCCCAATATCACTTGATAATATCGTCCGAAACAAAAGTAAAAAATTGGTTTAGCATAAGACACCACGCTCGTTTTTATTCCTTTATATCAAAGACCTGGCTTCGAAAACACGTTACCTTATATTGCATAAGAATGATAAACAAAAAAAGTTGTAACAAACAGCGTATCGCTTTATGAAGTCAGAATGTGGATAAGAATGAATTAAACACATAAAAATTAAATTAAGTTAAAAGTTAAATATAGCCTTAAACTAATTTAACACATAAATTATAACATAAATATTTAATAAAGCAATAAAAATAATTATAAATAAATAAATTCAAATAAGTGGCATGCAATATTTGCGAATATTACACAATCGGCAAACTAATAAAAATAGCAAATTGAGCGCAATAAATAATGCGTTATGCAAGTTATTACTGCAAATAGTTTATTCACTGTTTGCTATCTCATTATTAAAAAATATTTAATGCCATAGTTACGTTTGACGGAAGTTGCGGCATTTGCAAATGAATTTTTAATTGTTGCAACACTAAATAGAACGCTTCTTTATTATGCCAGCCTAACACAGAACGCCACATTCGAGCAACAGTAATGTGGCAAAAAATGTATGCAACTTTGCAATGGACTTTATTACGCACACAACGCTGCGCTTAAAATATAGCAACTATTGTGTATTATATTTAATTAAAAACAGATTTCGTTTGCGTTTCGGTTTTGATTGAATAAATTTGATGGCCAGGTATGAAATAATACAAATATATGCTTTTTTTTTTTAAAAATATTCACTGTTTATGCGTTTTTTGGGTTTGCTATCGACATTACCGCGCCAAAATGTAGGCAAAGTTTTTCCAACTCATTTTTTGCATACTTAATTTGTTATCTGCCGTTGAAATATATTATCGAAATCGCGGAAAAGTGGGAAGAAAAAATTTGTCATATCAAAATAATAATCTTGTACACTTGTTGGGGCACTAATTGAAACTCGCATACATATTATGACTATTAGTTACGTTGCCGTTATCAACTTTATCGTTGAAAACATTTTGATTTAAATCGCAATACCATTAAAGTGAAATCGACAAAGCTGTAAATAATAGTCAAACTTACTTAATTTTGACAATTTTTCCCATTTATATAATAACTGTCATGTTATGTTTGGTATCCAAAAAAAAAACAAAAAGAAAAAACGCGGTATTATAAGCTTTAATAATATAATTATACTAAGTTTCATATACAATTTCTTCTGAATCAAAAGTTATTAAAAAAGTTACTAAAACTGTTTGTTTTGCTCCGAAAATCCATCTAAAAAAATTGGTTGGCACAATTTTTGATGACACTTGCTGAACTCCAGTCATTTCGTAGTCTAAGTGAGATAACGAGTTTTTTTTCGAGGAATTGCAATAAGCATGTTTAGTTTTTCCGTCTGACTGACGAAACCTCCGATTTCTAAATGTGGAAAAACGATACATACATATACTATATAACTAAAGAGCTAAAATTTTGTCATCAATCACTTAGAAACTCATAAGGTTTCAAATTATTTTAGAGGTTTTAGAGATTAGGAGCAAAAGTGAAAAAAGGCGCAATAGATTCAAATAAAATATTTGCGATTTGTTTATTTATGATTTGTTCTTAAAGAATCGGTCCGAAGTAAAGAAATTATTCCGTTGGAACAACGAAAAATTTCTACTATATCATTTGGCGATCCCCACCTTCTTAAGGAATCGCATTTAGTCTGTTAGTTACAGTCTTTTGTGAAGCCAGTTAAAAACTCTTGTAGTTATATATATTAAATTTTGGACAAAGCACTTTGAGCCCATCAAAAATCTGCTTTGTGATTTTATTTAGTTGGTTAGTTGCAAAGGGCAGCGCATGAGCGCCAAACTGCAAAATTCCGTCTCTTTGTAGCGCTTTATACAGGGCACAGTCTCTTGCGCGGACTGCCGATTTACGCCAAGGAATAGGAAACTTTAGAAAAACAGAGAGAACAACAGTTCTAGATTGCCCAACAATTTGTAAAATCAGGCTCGATGCCCTGGGTTCCATCTACATAGAGAGGAATCACATAGCTTTTGGAATTATTCAGAGTACTATACTTTTGTGACCATATGTGATATAGGAGAGGTCATGTGTCGCGGTGCAAAACCTCAATTATTTTATATATAAATATCTATATAGGCCATCATTAATCCTATTGTGCTTTTAGGTGGTAACCAAATCAAGCCTTATTCGGAACCTCAGTGGATTTGGTAAGAAAGCTGATTTTTTCCACTTCAGCTGCCCAATGTCTCTTAAGTTGGAGCCATAACGCTATGAGACTTAGTATGGGAGCTACGAATAGCTTTAGTTACCGCTTGGCCACTTATCCACTATAAGATTTATGGACTTGTTGGTTATAGCAATAGCCTCCTTTGCACCTTTTGTTGTTCTGATACTCAGATTGGTCTAAATGACTTAAAATCATAAGCCAATTGATCATAAGCCCACCCTTAATATGCATTGGTCGAGGATAACTTCCAGAGCCTTTGTTTATGTAGTTTTCTTTATGACTATAATCCCCAGCAAGTCAAGCAGGCTCGTTGCACCTGTTACAAGGACTTAATATGGTACTTTTTCGATAACGCCATATCAGGAGGGCATAGATCATATGGGGTCATAAACCCCACTATCGAGTAACAGAAATGATTCTACTGCAAAAATTCCGCATTAAGCCCTGCTCTTAATGTGTTGTCTCCACATCAGTTTTTTATATAGGATTATAACTGTCAGAGCTCAAGGGTACAGTAGTTCATCTCTTTAAGGAAGGAAAATTGAATTGCGAAGCTTTTGGTGAACAAATATATTTCTATTTTCTCTGAATTGATAATTAGGTCTTCACCCTCCATTTGGCGGAGGTTTTAAAGGCCGTTCCTACGAGTCAAGCTGGGTGATTACCATTTAGTTCTGATCACAGGACAGTGATATCATCTGTATAGCAGATTTTTACATATATTTTCGCTATTTTACTCGGATATCTGATAGCATTACATTTAAAGAATTTTTTCCTTGATTTGAGCGGAGCATTTAAGAAGGAAATGTAAGCGGATTCTGTATCGTTTTCTTCCAAGCGGTTTATGCAATTAAAATTCGTTAAAAATTTTATCCAATGAATCTTAAACGGATAGTGGTTGATTAAAAATCTTACAAGAAAAAGTGGACTTTGCCAAATGCAAAGAGCTCACTGGACCTTCTGCGATTTACTTTGGCCTGGAAGCACCTTGCGACTGCATCGTTACTGGTAGCTGACCAATGCTTACCGAGCTCCTGCATCCAGTCGTGCGTCGCAAATAGCTTGCAGAGATCCTACTCATACCCGACTTAGCGAGACCATAAGTCTTGCAGCTGTCAGCATTTCGGCTAGTCGTACCTAAAAGCAAGAAATTTAAATTAAATAAAGCAAAGGGAGCGTTTTAAACTGTATAAACAGTTTTGCGTTTATCAAGCGTTAGACATGCTTTTTGTCTTCGCTATACACTTCTGAAGTTTGCAAAATAC